CTCAAAAGCTAGACTAGATCCTTTCTATAATCTCTCAGAAGGGGAAAGACCATTTTACCCCTTCAATGGTCCAAATGTCCAATTGTTGACCAAACCCTAAAAGTCAACGAAAGTCAACAGAGGGCAATACGTGGCACGTACCAGCTCTGTACGCGGGGCGTACGCCGGCGATCCAGAATCGAGGTCTTAACCCCTTACGCGGTGCGTTCTGAGATTTACACCCAGCGTAAGTCTCAGTTTCATGCACTTATTGATTTTTGGTCTTAAACGGTTAAGATAAAAGCTCAAATTCCATATCTAACTATTCTAAGGCCACTTAATCCATAAAAGTCGAAACCTTTAAGCCTTTGCATGGCTGTAAAGGTCACCAATCACTCCAAACACCATCCTCTTTCCTCATTAAGCCTTTAATTCATGCATGACTTAATATTCACGTCCAAGATTGGATTTTTATGAACCTACAACACATATTACACTGGAATAGGGCAGATCTAAGCTTATGGAGACCCTTTGCTCATAAAGTCTCCACCTTGGAACCAACAACCCTAAAAAATGGGTCCATAAAGCACAAATCAAAGATGACAAGGAAAGCTTTGAGCTTTTACCTCCAAGTGAAGCTCCAACCTCTATAGAACTCGGATCTAAGCTTGTTCTCCAACTTCTAGCTCCCACAATGGCCTTCTCTTCTTCTTCACTACCACAAAATGGCACTTTCAAGCTTAAGAACACACACACAAGCTTATAACGGGTTTTTTGCTCTCTTAGGGTTTCACTCTCTATAATATGGTGGCTGGGGGTAAGGGCTGTATCATTCCTTTTATAGTCCTCAAGTCTCATTTAGGGTTTTGCATCTGAGCCAGTTACGCCCAACATAACTTTGGTACACCCGGCGTACCTAATTGAGTCCGCGTCCATAATAAGCGCATGAGTACGCGCAACGTACTCTTCAATACGCCCAACATACTCGTTTGCAACATTTTCCACTAAAGGGCTAAACTTGACAACTTGATAAAGAAGAAGGGTTAAATAGATGTACCTGAATTTCGAGATGTTACATATATAGGGTGCAAAAACCCTGAAATTCAGGGTTTTCCCCGCCAGCTCCTACTCGTCGAGTCCCCTTCCTGACTCGCCAAGTCAACTCATTAAATGACGTGTCCTATCCCGCTTCTACTCAACGAGTCATAACATCAACTCGACGAGTAGGCCTTAAAACATGACGTCTAAATTGAATAATAATGATACCTGACAGTTGGGACGTTACATGTATTTTCTTCCTTGGATAAGTATCGATGATTATAATCAGAAGAAAAATGCAATTTTGGAAGGGGGTCTGTATCAATCGAAACAAATCAACAAGATGAACTGTAAGTATGATATTGAATGAGAATATGTGATTGACGTTGATGAATATCTCATTTATAAAAGTTAAAATTACCTCACTACCGCTGACGATATCAAAAAGAGAACGCACATATTTTTTGAATTGATTGGCTGATAATTATTTTCATTGTTCTCAAATCAAAAGTTGTTCTCATTTGAATATATATATATATATATATATATATATATATATATATATATATATATATATATATATATATATATATATATATATATTACTGAAACTAAAAAAAATATACAAATCAAATATTAAAAAAAATGAATATAAACAAACCAAAAACAAAATTAACAATTGAAACATAAACAAACAAAGATAAATAAACGTAAAATAAATAAATAAATATTAACTAAAAAAATTTAATTAATAAAAATAATTAATTTCACAAAAAAGAAATTTGATAATTATACTTATAAGATTAAAAAGAATAAGGTCAATTTAAGATCCACCATCTATGGACTAAGATTTACAGGCATACCCCACCACTCACAAAATATTACTTATAAAGTCTATCTATACCATTTGCCATTAATCTTCTCTCACATTCATAGTTTGATCCTCGAAAGATTGGAATACAAAGCACACGCAGGTATTCTCTTTTATTTATTGATTCACATTATATATGTTATTGTTTTGCTGGCTTGATAGCTTTGTTAATCCAGCTGTACTTGCTAATGTAACCCACTATACCTTTTTTTCCTCTTGTAATTCAATATTGGTTTGTGTAAGAACAAAATGGTGTTTTCTAAAGTAAACCTAGATCGAAGTTTATAACTGCGTGCTTTTCAAATCAAACTCAATTAACCCTTTTATTCACCTTTAGAATCTAAATTTCTTATGGATCTGGATGTTTGAAAAGAGTATCCGATGGATGTCTTCTAATATTATTGTTTGACTTTTTGAAGAAAAAACAACTACATATAAAAGAATCTAGAATTTGTTTCTTGTTGGTGTAACAGCTAACTCTTCTCTAACCAAACAAGCTCACTAAAAACTCATAGTCTTCAGATGTCGGTGGTTTATATTTATGGATTTTTGTATTTAGTTTTAGTACAAGGGTATGAAAAAAGGACATTGATTGATCTTTGGGTTTAATCGATGTTTATTCTGATTCTTACTATGTTAACATTCAATTTATGATCTTAATGAAAATTTTTATTAAATGTTGAAGACCATGTTGTCTTTTTTTTTTTTTTTGGAAACGGTGCATAATTATATATAACCAAAAAAACAAACGAAGCAAGCTGCTAAGTTTGGAGTTGCAGGAAAAAAAAAACAGAAATTAATAGGAAACAACATAAGAGTGAATGAGTAAAAAATTACAGAGGACAGCAGCTCCATTCCGCCCAGCTTACACCACTCCTTCCCCTGTATTTGTACCATTTGAATGCTTAGAAAACCATTTTGTCAAGCAATTGAAAATTACTCGTATTTATGTTTATCGTATTTGAGATTCTTTTACACTGATGATTATCAAAATTTTAATGTTTGCCAATATATAGGTTTTTAGGAGGTTCGTATATAATTTTAAAGTAATGGTATTTTCTGTTTTGTATTATGTAGGAAAAATTGAGAATAAAGTTATTTATTTTTCAAGTTGCAAAGTTCAAGAATTAGAGTCTTCCTTTTTAGTATCAGGTACGTTTTTTGATTTTGATTTTTTTATTATTGGTTTATATAATGATTCCCATAAAACATTCATGCCGAAAAGAAATACCGAAAAAAGACAAAATAAAATAAAATTGAACTAATAAAGTATATATTAATCTAGAGTAAATTACATGAATGGTCCCTATGGTTTGAGTAATTTGCGCGTTTGGTCCCTAACTTATTTTTTTAACTCGGAAGGTCCCTACTGATTGTTTTTATTACGTGTCTGGTCCCTATTATTTGTTTTTGTTACGCGCTTGGTCCCTGTCATACCTAAAAAGACTATTATTTAAATAGAAAAAAATAATGCAGTACGTAAGGTAAGGTGAAAAGGGTGAGATTAGGGGTGTGTTTATTTAAATAAATTAAAAAATAAAGGGAAAAATAGATTTTTTAAGTAAGACAGGGACCAAGCGCGTAACAAAAACAAACAGTAGGGACCTTCCGAGTTAAAAAAATAAGTTAGGGACCAAACGTGCAAATTACCCTAAACCATAGGGACCATTCGTGTAATTTACCATAACTAAAACCATAACTAAAACCACTAATAAATAAGTCAATACCACTTATAACTATATCAAACAAAAAACTATTAAAGAAATAAATAATTACCTGTATCAAACAAAAAACTATTAAAAAAATAAATAATTATGGTTTAATGAATAAGGTATAATTATGTATCCACTTTTTAAAACCATTTTCACTTTTTCTCATTTAAAATATTTTTTATATTAATATTTAAAATATTATAATTTCAGTTATTAACTATTATCCATAAAGTTTATTTTTTTTATTTATATATACTATTATACTATTTCAATTAAATTTTCTTCTATTTTTTTATACAAGATATATAATCTATCATAATTGTTGTTTTTTTATTTATGTTTAATTAATCTTGTATTAATATTTTTATTCTTTATTTTCTATATTTATTTAAGCTCGTATTAATATCTGATTATTCAATAGACGAATTGTCATAGGTGGTCATTTCGACATCACCTTGTTGATTAATTTATATTCATTTGTGTTCGTTTATGTTTATTTTTGTTCGTTTATCAACTTAACGAACATGCATAACAAACATGGACACACTAAGTTTCTTATGGTTTAGAGTTAAGCCTTCGGAGATGAACAAATATCATTTACAACGATATTGATATCGTTAATATTAATAAATAAATAAATAAAATCAAAATATTATATGACAATTCGTATAATAAAAAGTTGAGATATTATACAAAATAAAGATACTTTCGTAATTATACAAAATAAATTTTATTATGTAAATATACAAAATAAAATTGAGATATTAGACCTTTGCGGCAAAAGTTGGTAGCTAATACAACTTTTTTTTTTCCAACCTTTATAAAATGAGGTCTAACAACGATGATGAAACAAAAATATTTTGTATTTTATTTTGATTTGATCACAGTCATATTTTATTTTATTATAAATATGCTTGTATATAAAAAAATTAAAAACTTTTTAATAAGTTATTTTGTATACTTATTTAAAACTCATGGGTTTTGCCTTGTATAGTTATGTAGTATATTTGGCAAAATAAATGAGACAAAAAAATCTTTATTTATCACAGTAAATAATTTCTCCGACTTGCATCTCTGATCTTCAAATAGTTCTCAATCTCAGTCTTAATTTATCTCCTTTCTATCAGGCTTAGTGTATTTGTTCGCAATTATCATTAGTCTAGCTAGTATGAATGTAGTTGCTCTTGCTCGTTTATCAATTTCCATATATGGTGTTAAATTCCCATTGTTAATTCAGTTGCTTCTATATGTGTAGGGGCTACTAAAATCAAGAATATTGAGGAATGGCAACTTTCGACCCACTTATTGGTGCCTTTATGAACCCACTTGCTCAGGAGGCCATGGTCCCTGTCAGGAACCACATAAGCTACATAGTTTCGTGCACAAAACATGTTGAGGATATGCGTAGAAACATCAAGTCATTGAATATCGACAGAGACGGTGTGAAAGAAAAAATGGTACATAACGAGAGAGACGATCTTGAGATCCCAACTAATGTCCAAGAATGGTTGGAAGATGTAAAAAAGATCAATGAAAAGGTGGAAAACCTGCTCAGTACTGATGTTGTATGTTGTTTCAATATCAGAATTAGGTACAAGAACGGAAAGAGAGCCTGCAAGATTAATGAGGAGATCCACCATATCATGGTATGCAATTCGAAGATCATATGGACTGATCATCGCATTCCTCCGGGCAGAATTCGTCCCATGAATGCATCCACCAGCTCTGTAACATCAAGTGACCATCATGATCAATTCCCATCAAGAGAGCATATTTTTACAGAAGCACTAAACGCACTCAAACCCGACAATGCTACCCGCATGGTAGCCTTATGTGGGATGGGTGGAGTAGGGAAGTCAAAAATGGTGGAAAGACTGAAGATGATTGTGCAAGAAAGGAAAATGTTTGATTATTGGGTTCACGTGGTTATAGGGCAAGAAACGGACTTGAATATCATTCAGAATACTGTAGCACATTATCTAGGTGTAGAGATTGGAGAGATAGCTGATCAACCAGCAAGAATTGAGAAGATTCTTAATAGATTCAAGGCTATCTCTAAAGGAGGTGAGATTAAGTTCCTCATAATACTTGATGATGTGTGTCAGCGTGTTGATTTAAATTATATTGGTTTAAGTCGGTTGTCAAATGAAGGTGTGAACTTTAAGGTCTTATTGACTTCTCAAGATTTAGATATTTGCAATAAGATGGGAGTTCAAGATAACTTAGTTCTGAATGTGGAAGTCTTAACAGAAGCAGAAGCACAAAGTTTATTCGATGAAGTTGTAGGGATGCGTGATGATGTGGAGATGGAGGAGCTCAATAAGATAGGCAAAGATATTGTAAAAATGTGTGGCGGTTTACCCGGGGCTATCGAGAAAATGGCAGTTTATCTCAAAGATAAAAGCAGGAGTACATGGAAGGACACACTTTCTCGTTTAGAGCAGCATGATCGACTTAACAAAATTGAGCCTACTGGTTTTGAAAAGAGCCTCGACAGTCTCGAAGAGGAGACGCGGTCCATTTTTTTTCTTTGTGGATTGTTTCCAAGTGCTATTCCTACCGAAGAGTTGCTAAGGTATGCATATGGCTTGAAAGTATTTAGAGTGTTTTCCATAGAAGCTGCGAGGATTAGGCTAAGCAGCAGCATTGAGAAGCTCATGCTGAAGAATCTGCTGATGGAAAGTGAAGATGTTAGCTGTATCAAGATGCATGATCTGATGCTTTCTTTTGTTTTGAATATGGTTTCCAAAGGCAAGGATGCTTCATTTGTCCGATACGGTAGTATGCCAAAGTGGACTGAAGATGATATGAGCATATACGAAAGAATTATATCAACATGCGAGGGTATGACTCGTTTTCCTGAAGACCTTAAATTTCCAAAGCTCTCGTTTTTGAAACTTATGCAAGGAGATGAGTCGTTGAGCTTTCCTTCATACTTTTACAAAGAAATGAAAGAACTTAAGGTTATAGAATATGCTAGCATGAAGCGCTATCCAGCAATAGAGGAATGCTCCATTAAACTTCGAGTGCTTCATCTCCATCAATGCTCATTATCGATAACTGGTTGTTCTTCTATTGGAAATCTATATAACCTGGAAGTGCTCAGTTTTGCTGGATCCAACATTCAATGGTTACATCCCAGAATCGGAAATTTGAAGAAGCTAAGGCTACTGGATTTGACAGATTGCAGTGCTATTCTTATAGATGAGGGTGTCTTCAAAAGTTTGGAAAAACTTGAAGAGCTTTATGCGATAGCTGGTGGTGAAGATCGAAATGCCATTAAGTTCACAGATAATAACTTAAATGGAATGGCAGAACGTTCAAAAACACTTTCTGCGTTAGAATTTGAGTTCTTTGGCAGCAATGCCCAACTGGAGAATATTTCGTTTGAGAAGCTTAAAAGATTTAAGATATCTGTGGGGCGTTCTCTAGACCGAGGTTTTAGTAAGATCACACACTCATACGAAAACACGTTGCAGTTGGTGACTAACAGCTTTGATGTATTCAAATATAAAACGAATGAGTTATTTAAGGAAACAGAAGTGCTCTGTTTAAGTGTGGCAGATATGAATGATCTTGAAAATATTGACCTGAAGTCCGCACGTCCTCATCAACACTCTTCGTTCTACAATTTAAAAGTCCTTGTCGTTTCAGAGTGTGCAGAGCTGAAATACCTTTTCACAACAGGTGTTGCAAAGGATTTGTCAAAGCTTGAGCATCTTGAAGTTGAAAAATGCAGTAATATGGAAGAACTCATACATACTAATGGTAGCAGAACGACAATTATATTCCCCAAGCTGAAGTTTCTATCTTTGTGTGGGCTACCGAAGCTATTGGGTTTGTGTTGTAACGTCAACATAATTGCGCTACCACAAATAGTAAAGCTGCAACTTAGAACCCTTCCAAAGATCACAAACATTTATCCGGTGAATAATTCGGAAACATCTTGCTTGTTAAAGAAAGAGGTAAGATTATATGCTTGATGTTAACACAATTCAAACAATCTTTTCATTTAAAAGGTTTATCATATTGTTTGTAATTTGATTGTATGATGTATTGTTTGGATGAGGTTATTCATGTATGATTATTTTTGCAGATTAGGGTTCCTAACTTGGAGAAACTGCAAATTGAACACTTGGAAAATTTGAAGGAGATTTGGCCTCGTGACTACATTAGGACAAGTGAGGAAGAAGTTAATCTGAGAGAGATTTATGCGAAGGATTGTGATAATCTTGTGAATCTGTTTCCGTGCAATCCCATGCCATTGCTGCATCATCTTGAAGAGCTTAAAGTCAAGAAATGTGGTTCCATTGAAGAGTTATTCAACATCGACTTGGATTCTATTGGTCAAACTGGAGAAGGCTGCAACAACAGCAGCTTGAGAAATATCCAAGTGAAGGAATTAGGAAAGCTAAACGAGGTGTGGAGAATAAAAGGTGAAAATAACTCTGGTCTCTCCATCCGTGGCTTTCAAGCTGTTGAAACAATAACCATTACCGCATGTACAAGGTTTAGAGGCGTATTCACACCTACCACCATCAATTTTGAAATGAGGGCACATATAATCATGGGTGCAACTACAACTCACGATTGATTCTCAGGATTAAATATCATCATAGGCCCTAAATATCATCATAGGCCCAGAACCGGCTAGAAAAAAAAAGGGTCTTTATCATTATTATAAATTTTTATTTTTAAATAAAAAAATATATATGTAATATATAATAAAAAAATTAGACTCTGTGCTGCTGCTAAGTTTGCCCCCTCATAGCCCCTATGCAACCAACCTTACACAAAGTGTGAAGCATTTTGAATTCGGAGAGAGCAGCCAAAAGAAAGAGGTATGGTTTAAATTTCACTTTCCATATTTTGACTTTTCTTAAGTTTTTTTCATTTGACCAATCAAGACATAGATGTAACACCCATTTTCATATGTACTTGTAAACCTCGTCAAAATTAAATAAGAAAAGGGGTGAAGACAACCTTAATATATAACTAGAGGGGTAACCCTTGCGAGTGTTTGCATTGAAAGTCAAGTAACTCTTTGTACAATTTTAACTTTAATATTGTTTTCTATTTACAAAATGGAAATGAATTAAAAAGAAAAATTCCAATTGTTGAAAGAGTTTTTCTACTGCCCTTCGGGGTACAAAAAAGCCACCATATGTGTTTGTATCGGTTGGTGTCAAAGTCTTGTAGAAGAATTCAGTCCAATGTCTGCTTGGTTTCATGCTAAAGTCCAGAGTCAGAAGATCATGTTTTTCCTGATTCCAAAGTTTATACAAGAAAAGGATAAGTGCAAAATACACCAATATACATTATGTTATGTTTGTATTATAGCATCCTGCTTTCATTTATTTCTATTGTAATATTATACTTTAAAAAAATCTTATTAAGACATTATAACACAAGTTGGAGTAGTAGAATCCTACAAGTATGTAATGTTTTGATAAAGGAATATATCAACCAAACTAACACTTTGATTGTATTAGAGAAATTCAGTATCACAAAAACTCTAACAATTGACCTACCTCTATACATGATCAATGCATACATATATAGATCTAGAATTCATATTGGATTACAATTCCTAAACAAAGAATTAGGAAACTTTCCATATAACGCGTATCTTGGACAACACTCCAAAACACCGATGGGTCGACCCGCGACATTAAGCCCATGGTCTCAACCCATTCGACCAACAATCACCCCCTGAATGGTTGAGACGGCAACTCGCACACACCGAGTAACGATCTCATTTCACCGAACCTTACTCGCGCTAAGGCTTTTGTTAGGGGATCCGCTACTTGTTCTTTTCCCGCCACGTGTTCGACTTCTACTTGCTCGTTTTCCACATGCTCCCGAATGAAGTGGAAACAAGTGTGAATATGTTTGCTCCTCCCGTGAAACACCGGATTTTTAGACAACGCGATCGCCGACTTGTTGTCTATACGAATCAACACCTTCTATTTCTCTAATCCGGTCACCTCCGCGAGCAACTCCCTTAGCCAAATTGCTTGGCATGCTGCTGAAGTAGCTGCCATGAACTCGGCTTCACACGAAGATAAAGTAACGGTTTCTTGCTTTTGCGAGCACCACATAATAGGGGAATTACCAAGAAAGAAAATGTGACCAGTAGTACTCCGACCATCATCCATGTCTACATTATGACTACTATCACTATAACCCAAAAGTTTCAACTCGTCACACTTTTCATATTTAATTCCAAGCGAAATTGTACCACGAAGGTAACGAAGAATTTGCTTGATCGCGCGCGCATGAGATTCTCTTGGACTTTGCATATAACGCCTTACTACCCCGACCGAGTAAGATAAATCTGGACGAGTGTGAAGGAGGTAGCGTAAGCATCCAACTATCCTTCTGTAATTAGTGGCTTCAACTTCTGGTTCATTCTCGGCTTTTGATAATTTTAGTCCCGGTTCCATTGGACATTGAGTGGCATTGCATTCTTCCATCCCGACTTCTTTTAAAATTTTCATTGCATATCCCTCTTGCTTTATAGTAACACAACCCTTTTCTTGAGAAACCTCAATGCCCAAGTAATAAGTCAACAAGCCAAGATCTCACATTTCAAACTTTGACGACATCATGTTTTTGAATTGGCTTGTTATTTCATGACACGTTCCCGTTACGAATAAGTCATCTACGTACACTGCCACAATGATATATTCTCCTTTTGAAGCCTTTTTATAAACTGCCGTTTCTTGCAAACATCGTTTAAAACCCATTCCTCGTAAGATGCCATCAAGTTTAATGTTCCACACCCTTGGTGCTTGTCTTAGGCCATATAAAGCTTTTGCTAACTTGTAAACTTTTTCTTCTTCTCCTTTTTTCTCAAAACCTTCGGGTTGTTGTACGTACACTTCTTCTTTTAATTCACCATGCAAGAAGGCCGTCTTTACGTCCAAGTGATAAATTTTCCATCCCTTCCCGGCCGCGAGAGCGATCAATAAACGAATCGTCTCGAGTCGGGCTACCAGTGCGAAAACTTCATCAAAATCAATCCCGTGTTCTTGTACATAGTCTTTTGCTACGATTCGTGCTTTGTACCTAGAAATAGATCTGTCCACATTTCTTTTGATTTTATATACCCACTTTAATCCGATAGGTTTAACATTCTTGGGAAGAGACACCAACTTCCAAGTTTTATTCCTTTCAATTGACTCGATCTCGTCTTTCATTGCCTTAAGCCATTCGGGTTTCACAATGGCTTCTTTTAAAGTACTTGGTTCCTCGTCAAACGATAACATTAATTCATTCATGCTAAGCTCATAATCATTGAGGTGAACTGGCAAAACGGAAACACGATTAGAACGACGTACCGGGTTATTCTCGAACTCGTTATTGCCATCGGACTCGTGGTCGCTGTTGTCCGTATCAGGTTCTGTCGAGATTGCGCTGTCCACTGTTGGGCTCGGGGCTGCTGGGCTCGGCGCTACTAATGGGCTTTCATTTAAATGTTGCGGAGATGGGGTGGCATTGGTATTGGGCTGGTGAGTCCCATTATGTGGCTGATTTATCAAAGTGGCCCAAGTTATTTTGAATGTTCCAGAATCATTTTCCTTTTCCGCTGCTATTGTTCTCGTACCTTTTTCAATTTCCTTTTTCCATTGCCATGACAACTTTTCATCATAAGTTACATTGTTGCTTATAATAATTTTATTTTCATATGGGTTAAATAAACGAGCACCTCCCGAACCCGGTTCCGTTCCGAAATAAACCAATGGTCTCGATTTATCGTCAAGTTTCTTTAGATGTTTCGAAACAATCCTTTCATACGCAACGCATCCGAACACCTTTAGATCTTCAAGATTCGGTTTTTGACCATAGAGTTTTTCGTAAGGTGTGACTCCTACTAACGCTCTCGTAGGGGTACGATTTATAATATAGGTTGCATGTCGAACGGCTTCTCCCCAAAACTGATTTGGAACTTCTTTTGCTTTCATAAGACAACGTGTCATCTCGATTAGCGTCCGGTTTCGTCGTTCTACTATGCCGTTTTGTTGGGGTGAGTACGGAGCCGTTAACATTCTTGCAACACCTTCTTCGCTCCAAAAACGATTAAAATCGTTTGAAGTAAACTCTCCTCCTCTATCTGTGTGGAACGTCTTTATAGCCTTCCCAGTCCTATGTTCAATGGACTTTTTGAATTTTTTAATTACATCCGCCGCGTCGTTTTTGTGTTTTAACAAAAAAGACCACATGTATCTAGAAAAATCGTCAATTAGCACCAAAATATAAACGTTACCGGCCATCGTGGGAGGATCAATAGGCCCGCAAATATCTCCATGTAACATCTCGAGAATATTTTTAGACTTATAATTGGTTTTCTTCGGGAATGTGTGTTTGTTTTGTTTGCCTATCACACAAATTTCGCAAACTTCTTCTTGATGTTTCAAAATTGGAACTCCATTAGTCATCTTGTGCATCATATTCACCACACCAAAGTTGATATTGCCTAGTCGTGCATGCCATAACCAAGACTCGTCATCGATCTTTGCTTGCAAACATTGGGGTTTTCCAACTTTAAGTCGTGTTTTATAAAGACGATTTTCACTACGTGGAACCTTCATTAGCAACCTTCCATTTCGATCTTTCATTGTCAAGTAATCGCCATGCATTCTAATGTCACAACCGGATAGTGTCGTTTGGCCAAGACTTATGACATTGCTACGAAGAGAGGGAATATAGTAGATATCTTTCATAACTTTTTGCTCACCGTTTTTTCCTTCGAACAAAATTGATCCTTTTCCTTCAATTCGAACACACGATCCATCTCCAAATCTTACTCTTCCGGTTATCCGTTTATTCAACTCCGAAAAATATGAGTACTTCCCGGTCATGTGATTACTTGCCCCATTGTCGAGGTACCACATATCGTCGTCTTCTTGATTTGCCTCTACTTTGGGTGGAATATATTTGTCTTCATTTAGGAAGATTGTCTCCTCTTGCATCATAAAAAATGTTCCTTCTTCGTGATCGACCTCCTCTCGGGCATCGTTGAGATTTGCTTCATGTTTCCTGTTACGTTCCGGGCATCGCGAAACAAAGTGCCCAAACTTATCACACCGGTAACACTGAATATTTGATAGGTCTCTTTGTTCATTATTTTTGCCTTTTCGTCTTTGATCATCACGATTCTTTGATGAGACCCTTTGATCATGGTTTTGGGTGTTATCTCGACCACGGCCACGTCCTCGGCCTCGTCCCCCACGGTATGCACCACGTCCTCTCCCACGGCTTGAGTCTTGGTTTCGATTTGAGTTATCGGTCTTGGCATAAAGTAGCTTTTCACCGGAATCGGATGCTTTGCCAATTTCTTTAGTCCGTTCCTCGTAAGCTTTCAGCCGCCCAACTACATCTTCAAAAGTAATGGTTTTTAAATCCAAAACTTGCTCGAGTGCTGCTACGATGTGAATGAATCGACTAGGAAGACTCGTAAGAAATTTCTTCACCAACTTCTCTTGTGAGATTGTTCCTCCAAGTGTCGCTGAAACGGTCGCAAGTCCCGGTAGTTTTGAAGAGAAATCGTCAATAGTGCTCGTATCTTTCATCTTCAAACTTTCGAATTCC